TATCTAGGGTGAAACAGATCACCAGCCCAGGTTGGGTGCATGAGACAAGTGCTCGGGCCTGGTGCACTGGGAAGACCCAGAGGGATCGGGTGGAGAGGGAGGTGGGAGGGGGGACCGGGATGGGGAATACATGTAAAGCCATGGCTAATTCATTTCAATGTATGACAAAAACTACTGTAATGATGTAAAGTAATTAGCCTCCAACTAATAAAAATAAAAGAAAAAAAAAAAAAAAAGAATTGTTGTTCAGTCGCTCAGTCATGTCCGGCCCTTTGCGACCCCATGAACTGCAGCACGCCAGGCTTCCCTGTCCTTCACCAACTCCTGGAGCTTGCTCAAGCTCGTGTCCATTGAGTTGTTGATGCCATCCAACCATCTCACCTTCTGTCACCCACTTCTCATCCTGCCCTCAATCTTCCCCAGCATCAGGGTCTTTTCCAGTGAGTCAGTTCTTCACATCAGGTGGCCAAAGTATTGGAGTTTCAGCTTCAGTATCAGTCATTCCAATGAATATTCAGGACTGATTTCCTTTAGGATGAACTGGTTGGATCTCCTTGCAGTCCAAGAGACTCTCAAGAGTCTTCTCCAACACCACTGTTCAAAAGCATCAGTTCTTCAGCACTCAGCTTTCTTTATGGTCCATCTGTCATATCCATACATGACTACTGGAAAATCATAGCTTTGACTGTATGGATGTCTATTGGCAAAGTAATGTCTCTGCTTTTTAACATGCCATCTAGGTTTGTCATAGCTTTTTTCCCAAGGAGCAAGTATTTTTTAATTTCATGGCTGCAGTCACCATCTGCAGTGATTTTGGAGCCCAAGAAAATAAAGTCTGTCAGTGCTTGCATTGTTTCCCCAGCTATTTGCCATGAAGTGATGGCACTGGATGCCGTGATCTTAGTTTTTTGAATGTTGAGTTTTAAGCCAGCTTTGTCACTCTCCCCTTTCACCTTAATCAAGAAGCTCTTTAGTTCCTCTTTGCTTTCTGCCATAAGGGTGGTGTCATCTGCATATCTGAGGTTATTGATATTTCTCCTGGCAATCTTGATACAAGATAAAATCAAGATAAAAAGGATAGCAATCTTTATTCAGTCTTATCACATTGCCAAGATGGTGACAAGCTCTTTATGATTATTATCACTTTGAACATTTTACCAATGAAGAAACTGAGGTGCAGAGAACTTAAATATCCTGTCCAAGGTCACACAGCTGGAAAATGATAAAGCCAGGATTCCTATCAGGCAGTCTGGTGGCAGAGCTCATGTTCTTAAATACTAAACTCTCCTGAGAAGATGTCCTTGTCTTTGAGGCAATTCAAATATAACTAAGGAAATGAAGTAATGAAGAGTGACACCAGGGAACTAGTACCTATACACATTTCACCTGGTATTTAATTGTAGCTTCAATGTACAACACGAATCTTATTCCTTTAACTCTTTCTCCTCTACAGATAGAACACTGGAGTGGGTAGCCATTTCCTTCTCTAGGGGATCTTCCCAACCCAGGGATTGAACCTGGGAGGTCTCCTGCACGGCAGGGAGACTCTTTACCATCTGAGCCACCAGGGAAGCCCTTAATATACAATGTGGATCTTATTCCTTTTCCTCTTTCTCCTCTGTGGATAGATATATATCAACTATTGGAGTTCTTCGTTGCAGAGGGCGTAATCCACATTAGCTAGCTGAAAGAAAGGAATATACTAAAGGGAATCAGTTTAGTCATAGGCTATCTGGGAGGATCAGAGAATCATCCTTGAAAGCTACAGAACCCTAATTATACCGCCTGCTGTTTCAGTGTACATCTGGGCTGTTAATAGGCATTTACATCAGATTTACCTTAAAAATGTACATTTACGCTTTCAGGTGGATTGACTCAAGGGTTGGACTCAGTTGGAAAAACACTTGACTTTTCCCCATAAATTCAAATACCTCACAGAACACTTGTGGACAGCATCCCATGGGCACGCTGTTCTGTTACAAAACTGTGGATAAGGCATTCCTGGTGATCCAGGAGGAAGCTTTGTGTTGGGTCAAGCAACCCTCTCTGAGAAGGAATAGTATTGTGCTTTGCCTGACAGCAAGGATTAATAGAATGTATTGTAATCTTAAAAGATGGCTGCAAGTATCAATCATCTTGGATAAAGTCCTTTGATTCACATCTCGTGGAAGATTCCTTCACAAATTATTGATACACATCATGGGAATCAACCTGCATTTTGTACTAAGGACTCAGCAGACAGCAAAGAACACGGGAGCTTCTTCTTCCTGAAGGAAAGCAGAGGACGATGGAAAGCCCGCGGGATCTGGACTAAGAACAGTTGTTTGAATACCAAATTGAGAATATGGGGGTAGTGTCCGGCACCAGGCAGGCATGTTTTAACTGATAGTTCATTTCTTCCACTGCATCTAACCCCTTGGCTGCTCTCTGAATGTGAACAGATCCCAGGCTGAACTTGTGGAAATCAAATAAAAAGCAGCTAATATGTTTTTAACCCTTTGGTTGCTGGTAGCTATGTAAAGAGATTCTGTTTTCCTTTTCTCATTGAATGAAAATTTATAGCCTAATTTGTGACACACTCTCTCTAGCAAGTGTGTGGGATTTCATAGCATGACTTTTAATATACTACACACCTTATTTCATCTTTGTAATCTATTTTCTCTTTCTTTTAAAAAAATATTTGTAGCTCATCTCATCATTCTATATGCACTTTTTCATCCAGTTTTGGAAAAAAGTGGCAACCCCCCCCCAGACCCACATGGGCACTCCTGTGATACCCCAACCTCTCTTCTGTTGTTTCAAAAGCACCCCTGGTCCCTAGATTTGTTCTGGCTGTGCTCAAGGCTCCCTCAAAACCAATTCCACTTTTGCCTGAGTTTTAGGCCAGTTGGGATTTTCATCTTGAATCAGTCCATCTGCTTCCATCTCTCAAAGATTTCTCATGATTTCTAATCCCTAAGAGTGTCCCGTCATATCTCCCGGTGCTGATTTGAGTTTGTTTTACTCTCTCGTCTCTTCTGCTGTTTCTAGAAGTGAGTCAGGAAGACTGGTGAATGTGTTCATGTGTCATCTTCCCAAGGTAGCCCCTCCTCCCTTCTTCAGTTCAGATCTGTATTGCCAACAGTCCTCTGAACACACACACTCAGACATGCTACAGGAGCCTCAACATACAACATCTGAAATAAACACCTCACCCCCACCAAATGTGTTGTGTGTATACATGTGTGCATGTGTGTATACATGTGTGCATGTGTGTCTATGTTTGCATGTGTGTATATGTATGTGTGCATGTGTGTGTGTGTGTTCCTTGTATAACCAAGGAAGATGGAAGATTGTGTCTGGCTGCTCTCACTCTCTCAGCTGTCTCCCCTAATAAACATCCAAGCTTTTAGGTGTTCTACCTCCTAAATATCCAGATTTATCCCTTTGTCATCATTTTATTGCTATAGCCGAACAGAATACAATTTTATCCCTTCAGCCCATTCTCCAAGCTATTTTCAAAGTGAGATGTCTAAAAGATACCACCTTTCTAGAAACCCTCCTGGCTTCCAGGCGTCTACATGGTGGACGTCAGCCGCTTAGCAGGGTACCTCGTTTAGCCACCAAACTCCTTGTTGGCCTTAATACGCACTCCTCCTCAATACTCCAACTTTGTTGTCAGCTATGCCGCTTCTGTTCTTTCAGGCATCCATGCTTTTGTGCATATTGTTCCTTCTACTTAAAATGCTTTTCCTCACCTCAGCCCACCCTTGCTTCCTGCCTGCCTTCATTTCTCAACAGATATCTGTGTTGCACCTACTCCATGCAGGCCTTGTTCCAGACATGGACCAGGGCAAATAAGTCTTGGCTCTCAGTTTAAGAATGTATTGAATGTTACTTGGACTGTGTGCCAGGAGCACTTCCTGCAGTCCAAGAGACTCCTTTCTAGCTGGAGATGCACACCAGCCAGATGAGTTCTCCGCGGCTCAGCGTGGGTCCTCCTGAACTTCTGCATCTCCCAGGCTGGCTGAGCCCAGCACATCCTGTGACTGCGACCCCAGGATATTTGTGTCGTCGCCGCTGCCGTGGAGCCGTAGGATCCCTGAGCTGCGTCCTTCCTTTTATCCTCCTAACAGTGTGGGGCACCTAAGAAAAACTCGGTAAGTGTTGACTAAACAGCTACTAACCGAAGCCAATTTGATCATGCCCTTCTGCTACTTAAAATCCTTTGCTGACTCACCACGATGAAAGATTTTAGGTCCAAGCTCCTTAGCTGGACACACAGTGTCCTTCAGGCTGGCCCTGCCTTCTCCTTCTGGTTCCTCCTTCCCCAGGTCCCAGTCATTTCCTTTTTGCTCCCGCCACACCATACTGCGTCTCCTGCTTTCCAGATAATCTACTCTAGGATTTCTCAAGGCCTACTAGTAAATGCTCTATGCAATGAGTCTGCCTTTAATACCACCTTGTTTGTTGTTCATAACCAACTCAAAGATCACACACCCTCGTATGTTACATGTTCAGTCCTGTACCCACAGAGTCACTTGGATTCATTTATGACCTTATATTGTAACCATCTATTTCTGTGTGTCTATCTCTCCCCGTCCTTATTCCATATGCTTTGAGTTTTTCAAGGACAGGAATTGTATCTTATTAATCTTTAACTTGCCTCTAATTTCATATGGTATATATCTCAGCTCTTAGAATATAGCATTTGATCAGGTAATTTTTGATTTAATGAATAGATTTTTTTTTAATTTTTTTTTTATTTAATGAATAGATTTTTATAACTCTTTGTTGTACTATGTAGGATGATGATTAAAGGGTTAAACTAGTTTACTCAATGTTTTTGCAAAAGATACAATTCAAGGTCTTATTCTTAAACCAAATTAGAAGATTTATTTTTAAGTGTTGACCACCTGCTGTTCATTTCTCCTGCTTTTCTAATGTAAAAGATGAAATAATCTGTCCTTGCAGTGTTTTACTTTCCCATTTCTAGCAGAATAGTATGTCAGTCTTGTCACCCACTTATTGCCTCCTACCTGCTGCATACATGAGACAATATTAGTTTCTTGAAGGCAAGTCTCTCTTACCCAATTTAAAATGCCTTTAGGTAGCTGCTGGAAAGGATCATTTAAGCCTGTCTCAAACCCATCTATCAGTGAACTGAATGTGGCACAGTGAAAAAAAATCACAGGAGTCAGCATAAAGAGCCTTTAAAAAAAATGTAACCTATGTTTTCCCCAGGCCACATGAGCCTCAGGGTAAAATGAGGCAACATTAATAGTAATAAACAGTGTTTCTCTGCTCTGACCCCCTGCTTAATGTCATCGGATCTCAGACTCTTTGTAAAACCTTCTCTTCAATCCTCAGATAAGTTTGAGGGGCCCTAAGTGAAGTGATGAAAATGTGTCAAAACAGTTAGCTGTTCCCAGCCTCCACGTGGCCCGCACCGTGTTTCTCCCGGCCTCTCTTCCCATTTCCAGGGTGCCTACTGCTGCAGGTTCCCGGCTCCTGCTGCCCAGGTTGTCTGACGGCTCCTGCTGGCACAGAGCAGCTCTGCCACCTTCCATGGCTCCCAGCACCACTGGAGACTTGTGATCTTTTTTTACATATAATTAATTTACTTATNCCACACTGTTCTCCATAGTGGCTGCACTGGTTTGCATTCCCACCAACTGTGTTAAAGGGTCCCTTTTCTCCGCAGACTTGTAATCTGTAGCAGCGCCTCTTGCCGCCTTTGGAGCCGTCCTCTTTCTTACCGATGCTGTGAGCTGACGCCTCGTCCGCTTGCACCCCGCACCGCTGCTGCTACAGTGCTACCGCCCCTGTCACCACCGCGCGTCCCTCCTGCCACCATCCGCCATGACCCACCGCCTCCTGCCGCCGCCAGCATCACCTCCTCCTGATGCCCATAGTTAGACCATGTTGGCCCCCAAACGCAATTCCCAAACACACCAAATATTTTAAAGAACATAGGTATTTTCATTTCAGATGCTTCTCACCTTGTGGCCTGAGTACAATCCAAGCATGTTCAGACACGAGCTGAGTGTTATCTTTGGAGCATCCTGGAACTCTGCCTCTAGTCCAGGGACCACACCCAGCTTGTGGACCTGATTTGTTCCTTGCTTAGGATGGGCTCAGGCCCAGAGTTTCCACAGCCACTCAAACACACACACCTGTTGGATCAGCCTAGAAATTCATTGTAGACACTCTAGCTAGCTTTCTTTCTGCACACTTCAGGAACATGTGCACACATGGTTACATGTCCTTATTGAAATTGTCAGAGAGAATGCAAAACTCACATGTTTGTGAATTTACTCTATTTCCCCCTGGTACTGTGAAATTGCTGGTATTGTGGAATTCTTCTGAGAATCTAAAACCTGGTGTTATCTCATTTACCTTGAGGAATATCAGCTGGGATATCTCCAAATAATAGCTAGGCTTGTCAAGATAGGCAGTTATTTCTCTGTAGGGTGGAGGAAGTCTGAAGCTAGACCAGTCCAGGCCTGGTGATGAAGCTCTGTGAGGTCACCAGGGCCTGAGCTATAGCCTTCTTTCTGGTCCTCCGCCCTCAACACGCGGTGTCCACTGCAAGAACCCAGGTTGCTGCTGGAGCATCGGGAGCTGCATCCCAGTCAGCAGGAAAGAGTAAGGACCTAGAAAGACATGCCCCTTCTCTTTAAGGACACTCTACACTCACAGAATTTACATGATAGGTTTCCACTTACCTCTGATGGGTCAGAGCTTGGCTGCAATGCCACATTTAGCTGCAAAAGAGGCTGGGAAATGAACCCTTTACTATGTGTGTCCAGGTTTCCAGCCACATCAGCAGTTCTGCTCCCAGGAAGGAGGCCAAGAATACGTAATCAAAGAGATCAGGGAGTCTCTCCAAAAAAGAGAAGATTTTTTTCCCTCCCCTTTTATAGATTTCAACCTGGCACATTGAATTGCTTGTGCCATCCACACCAGTGTATGCGAGAGGATCACCTATTGATAATTTAATTCGTACTTCCGTCTCGCTGCTGTTAATACATTTCCCTTCCCTGTCATGGAAAAGTAGCTCAGCTTTTGTCCCCATGTCTAACAGGCTCTTGTGTTGTGGGATCAAGAGCCAACATTGACAGGTACTCAGCAGGTAAACCCAGCCTCAACTTTTGCTTTCATGACATGAACTCATGGAAACAATGATAGCAAAGTCCCTGTAATGAGAGAGGAGCTCCAAAGTTTGGGAAAAGCAGAAGTGGATTGGAGAGAGGTGTTGAAGTTTCCTTGAGGCAGAAGGGGCCAGGGTTTGGGCTGTCTAGCAGCTACTGGGACCAGAGCTGTGCATTGCCTTCAGAACACATCCTAAGAGCAGCGGCCATGTGTGTGGCTCAGGAAGCCCAGATGTGAATTGTAAAGTACCTCCCAATGCTGGAAATGTTTTCTCTGCTCAAGAACCCATTTTCCAGAGAGATGACCAGGGTGATCCAGACAGTAGGGTGAAAGTGAAAGTGAAGTTGCTCAGTTGTGTCC